ATCGTCTGACTCACCGGGGTTGATGACCACATCCGTATCATTCCCCTCCTCTTCGAAACTTTCCTCGTCCTCAAGGATTAAGAAATTAAGCGCACCTTCCTCTTCGTTGTTTGACTCCTCCACCACCATCGCTTCTCGGGCTTCCATGAGTTGTCGTTCATACTCTTCAATATTCCTTCGCTCATGAAGCTCATCAAGATATGTTGCTTCCCATGGTGTGAGTTCTCTTTCCAATCCTTCCAACATCTCAAGATCTTCCCAATCCAACTCATCCATTGGTGGGTAAGACATAAATATTTTTTTTGTTTAAGACTCTAAAAAAAATCGAAAATAATAGGGGAAAAATTCGAAAATTTCGAACCCCCAACAAGACTCTAAAAAAAACGAAACCAAAAGAAATTCGGCCCCTCAACAAAAGGTAATAACCGAACAAAAATCAAACAAAGGACTAACAAGATGACACTTTTTTTTTAATGAAAAATTCGAATAAATTCGAAAATTTCGACCCAAAAAAGAAGAGAAATTTGGCCCCTCAGCAAAAGGCAAACCGAAAAAAATAAAAAGATAAGATAGACAAAATATCGATCAGCACCTCTCAATGAAAGCACCAATGATGACGGATCGATTTTCTGTCTATACGTGGGGTTGCGAATAAACGATGCACTGCGGCCTTCGTTTATCCCCGATAGGTGTATCTAACAGACGCACTGCGGCCTTCTCCTAGATACCGTGACTTCAAGACGCACTAATGGCCTTCTCTCCGACACTGTATGTAAACACGCACTAATGTCATTTGTTTATCACACGTTAAGAACATCAGTTCCCCCTCAAGATTGGCTCACCAATTCAATACTTCATTCAACATGTCTAAATATGATGAGGTACATGGGGTATTTATAGTTGCAAAATAAATCTAAGCCTAAATCTACTAGATCTCCTAAATCTTGCAATAATAGAAATCCTATCTCTAGAAAGCAATAAAATCCTAAAGCTACAAAATAACTATTGCTTGGCTTGCACACCAAGCAAATCTAGAAGCTCCCTAAAATCTCCAACTAAAACTCTCGGC